ATAAACCAAATGTACTGGCATAATCATAATCAATGCCAGGCATTTTCAGTACCAAATAATGGTGTGGAATGAAAACACTGACCTCCTTGGCAAGGCTCGAGGCCCATCTAAAATCTCTGCCGTACTTTGGGTCCAGCACTTGGTTGCATTGCAACTCTACATTAAACTGGAAAAGTGCCAGTTTTTTCGCTTACGGATTTTGACCACAAATACCACGATACTTTCCAAGGGACCAGTCCGCATAAGCAGCTTGGAGCGAACTCCAAGAACTTCTGCTATCCGTGGTATCAAAATTAAGTTTACGGTCAGACCTCGTAGCCGAAATTACCGCCATTTGCGCTCTCATACTGCTCTGGACTGGTGGCCAGGGGTTGCACTCTATATGCAATTTACACGCACACACCATTCACACAAGAAGCTAAACCAAATTCTCAGTTAAACGACTTCGCCGCTCAATTCACGCACAAACCACCCTAACTGTTCGGAATTCGGACTAGTGGAGATCGATTAGCTAACATCTAAACGTCCATCAGTCCAGCTGATCTCTATAGCACCCAGATCCCAAATGTCCGAGTCCATCAGACATTCTACAGTCAAGAGGAAATTTAACGTACAATATGCCTACGTATTTCATCCATCAGAATCCATACAATCGCGCTTACAGACTTCCAATTGGGTCACCATAAAACTATGCATATACTACAAATATAGTTACCTTGTCTGGAGTATTGGAAAGGGTGCGACAACAACAAAAAACTAAACAACTAAACAAGAACATAATAGACATACAACAGTGACAAGAAGACAAGATTGACAATAGCAACAACAACAAGCGCATAACCAAATAATATTACTAATAGTTGCCACAATGTAGCTTTGCTAAAGTATAAGTGCATACACACCCATGCATACTCAAATACATATTGGCATAAGAGCACACGATCGTGGCAATGAGTTCAGCGCAAATGGAATTGTCTACAAACCCATTTTATGACCTGGTTCGGTCTCCTTTCATAATATATATCTACCCAAGTATGTATGTTGGCACATAAGTGCCGGTGTATGCAAATCGTGAGGATTATGTTGCACCTCACCAAGTTTACCATTAAAATGCGTGAAATCGAAATCTGTTTTTCAAGTTTTATGACTTTACTTTTAAACGATCAGTGACCAAAGGGCCGACAAACGAGCTTTACACAACGACTATAAATGTTCATTAATACTGGGGGGGAAGTGAGGTTAGCTAGAATCATATTTTTATTAGTGGTTAAGAAAGGACTTAAATAGAAATGAGTACGTTCAAAAATATTTACGGGCACAGTGTATGGATTTTATACAAACAAAATTTAATTATTAATAATCGTAGTGATATCCCGTCTACTCTTTTCGAGAGCCTAAGAACACGATATGTGGTTTTAAAAAACCACACCATATTCATCGAGTTTTAACAATGTTTCGTCAGGACGGTGAAGAAGCGGATTTGAAGAGAGAGTTCCGTCGTTGTCCTAATAAGTAGTAGTTAAGCTTTTAACTGGTCTTATAAACAGTTTTTATATAGTCAGAGTAAGCACAAAGGTTTGTCATATGAAGGGCTGGAGTTACGCATGGTTATATTCTTGTTGAACTTAAGATAAGAGTTTTTTATTTCACGAACGAATGCAAGTTTCATTAACTGAGTCACAGTGTGAAAAATTGGAATCAACAGTTCGAACAGGCGATCGGGTTTACTTAATCGGAACCGAGAAATATGTGCAAAATCTTCTTTTGGAGTAATGCATTTGTTAAAATGGTCCTTCAAAATTAACGGTCCCCCATTTAAATGGTAGTGCAGGAAATAGGAAGCAAGGGGACAAATATGGTGAATAAACTGAATTGAAGACTAGTTCATAGTCAATTAATTTCAATTTATCTGTCGAAGCCAGCCGTGAAAAACTTTGCCGTCTTGAAAAATTCATGAATGAAACGACCTATGCGTTTCGTCGATCTGCCACTGATGTTAACCAAAATTCACTTTTTCGGTTGAAAAACAAAAATATTAGAAGTAGCGTCCCTTTGAGTCCAATAACGTGAGAACGTTTGTACGAAATGGCAGGAAACATTGAAATAATTCTGGTTGGAATTTGTGCTCTACGACAGGGATAGAAACTTATTGGTTTGTGGTGTGATCCCTCGGTGATGGCAAAGGCTTTTCAGTCCATGTAGTATGAACATCTTTAATCTAATAGGTCTGGCGAGACAAAATTCAGAGTATTATAGTTTAGTGCGGTTTATGGGACCAGCAAGTTACTGTGAATGGGAATCGCCACCGCTCAATGATAACCGTATATTTTTGTTCCGAATTAGATGATATGGCCTTGGACGATATGCGGTTTCAACAGGATGGCACCACAAGCCATACAGCGAATGTCACAATCGATTTATTGAATACCAAATTTGGTGAAGGTGTTATTTCCCGAAATGGCCCGTGATTTGACGCCGTTAGACTAATTCCTGTGGGGCTATGCCAAGTATATTGTCTATGCCAACAAGCCAGCGACGATTGCAGCAGTATCGGCCGATTTATGCTTGAAAACCGTCGAAATTTGGTTACAGCGTCTAGACTTCTGCAAATGTGCCCGTGGTTTCACAGGAATAAAGAATTTCATTAATATTCCAAACCGTTACTTTGTGGTGCTCTTATTGAAAAACCCGTTAGAAGCATTTAATAATCGAAATATTCTGTATGAATGTATGTAGTACACACTTATGTATATGTCGCTGATATTTTAGATATCACTCGTGAGTCATTGCCATTATTTTCGTTTTATTTTAGCAAATGCCAACAGGCTCGGTTTTACACACATATCTTTGCAAATTAACGAATGTATTTATGCTCGTATGTAATATGTATATTTACGTTCGTGTGTTCGATATACATATATATATTTATGCACATACTTTTGTATAAAGATCAAAAAGCATTCCCTGCTTAATGCAATTTAGAGGAAAATGAAATATCGCGCAGTTGAGTAGATATGCAACATTCTATCAGTGATGTGCAACGAAATTTTAAGGTAGCAACAGGTAATATATTTACATACTTGAAAAACCCAACCCCCCACTACAAGAACAAACATTGTTATAAGCATACATATGTACAAGCAAGTTGAGTGGAAAAATGCAGAGGAACATTGGAAATGGAAATACAGATGCGCACAGCATTGCATTGCCAGGATCGACCTTACACACTTACAAAAACACCTACTTTCACACAAAACAACACAAGACACACACACATTTACAGCTCAAAGCTGCAAGAACACACTCATTTGGGCATGACTTTAATCATGTGGCACGAAGTTATGCAGTTTCTGCGAGTCACACACATTAAAATGGAGTGCAAAATGGTAAAAAATGCTGCGCATGTGTTAGTTAGTGGTGTGAGTCAAGTAGAGGAAATGCAACAATGCACATTTCTCTTACTATTCTAAACTCTGATCTCAGTTTTTAAGCTATTGGTGTGGTTATAGCGCTGAATGTGGAGAAAAGCGAGCTCAGCGCCTTGAGTCAGCGAAACCCTTTCGGCACGGCACACGCTACTAAAAATATATGGCAGTAAATATATCTACTGTAATACGCACAGAGAGCGTGAGAGTTAAGGCTGCGCTGCGCTGCGTTGGTAAGCGAGTTTTGGTGTATGTAAAAGATACAAAGCAGGGTTGCCAGGTAGATTGTTAATAACCTTTTTTGCGATAAAATGAGGGATGTGTTAATAATTGTAGATTTTCAAGAATTTAAGGCTTTAAAAATCTTTTAGGTGAGAATAATACCTATCAAATAAATAAAACCTACTATAAAAAATAAATACAAGCAAGAAAGCTTAAAAATTTTTCACAACATATAAAATATATAAACAATAAAAATTAAGGGAATAATTTGAAAGTCGTAAAATTTATAAGAATCATATCATTATTTAACAAAATTGAAAGTGAAATTTTTAATTTTTCGAAACCTCAGCACATTATTCGTTTCAAAGAAACAATATAACTGATGAATATTAATACTGAACCTGGCTAAAAGTATATAAGACTGGGTAATAAAGCAAATCTACATAAATTTTTACAACTTGACTAAACTCTCTGTCAATATCTTGTGTATACCTTTCCAGAATCTGTGGTTGTTTCTGCAGCGGCACAACTGTACCGAGTTGACAGCTCCTGGTTCGGATTTTGTAGCGATGCTTTAGCAAATAATTTATACATTTCTTAAAGATAATGTATCAAATTAAAAGGTTTTTCACACAAGGACTTGATTTTTATCTGCATCTTCTTGAGAAGAATTTAAGGGTACTTAAGGCACCCTCTGCCGTGCTGTGGGTCGGGCACCCGGAAGCAGTGCGACCCCACACAGAATTGAATTTTTGATTCTACCTGCCTTTAGGTTTAAGCCGCAGCCACTACGAATCTCCATAAAGAGTTAAGCCAAATGAGCAGATTGATGCCAGCTCCAAGGGCCGACTGTTCTCAGCTGTAGTAGATTTAAGTCTCCAGTCGGAACTTGTAGCTTTTGCCACTGCCAGTTTAGCTGGAGAAGGAATTTTATTCAAAGTAATCAGTTTAAGCTGAATATTACAGCACTATTTTGACAAGACTATGCTGAATTTTCGAGACAAGCCAAAAAATAGATATAGTGCTTATTGATTTTAGTCGCCTCTTACGATAGGCAACCTTACTGCGGGCAAAAACCACCTACAGACGGCTATGACTAATCGTTTCAGCGCGCCGCGCAGATCATTTATATATGTATACACTTTATATAATAGGTATCCAACGTACTTTTGTGTGTTACAAACTTCGTGCATGTAGAAGCAAAAAAAGTTCTGCACAATCAGCGCACTTGGCAACCCTGCGTGCAACCATTAGCCATTGAGTATGGCAAAGCGGCGCTGTTTCCGTCGCTGTCGCCGTCGAGGTTTTCCACTCAGTGTGGGTTTTATGAGCCGCTCATTGAAAGTACATTCACCAGTGTGATTTGAGCAGGCGAAAAGATTGGTAGAACTAGGCGGACGATACATATCCGCAAAACGCACGATCAAAGTGACACAGCAAACACTCTGAGTGTCCGTAGTGTCACCAACAATAATAACATTAAATAAAAAAATACCAACTCTACATTAACAATAACTTCATTGCTCAGCAGTAGAGCTAAGAAACGAACGAACTAAGCGACTAACAAGCAAGCTAGCAGTCAAGTCCGAGTCAGCCATAAGCTAGGCACACAGTAGCAAAAACGTCCATTTGTAATTTTTTCCATATGTAATTGCAATACACACGCACGCGACGGAGTTTTTGTTTTTGATTTTTAGAAAAGCGTAGACTGAGCAAAAGCTGCTGTGAGTTAAAAATAATATATATTTATATAATAAAATAATAATAATAATAAAGTGCACGGCATGATTTGAAAAGTGTTGGAAATTAAAACAGTTTACGAAAAACGTGCAAAAAAGCAAAAAAAAAAAAAAAATTGAAATTTTCGAAAAATAATTCCGCAGCTAGTAAAATATATATGTAAATGGCTGGACTATAGGCTAAAGAGTTTGGCATAGAAGAGGTAAGGTTAAAACTAGCCGCAAATATTTGTAGATAAATAAATTAGTTTATGGCCAAAAAGTGGTAAAGCGCATAAAAAATTCGCAAAAAGTTGTGCGAAAATTTGCATAAGCGAAACAATACATAAGTAAAGCAACAAAAATACGCACATTAATATGCAATAAACAGAAAAGAAAGAAAAAACAATCAAAAGTTATGTGTTAAAAGCAAACGCTGGAAACCATGCAAAATAAGCAAGAACATCTCGTTTGGAGTTTGGCATAAAACACACCAACAATAGCAGAACACACACACACATTCACACATGTAGAAGCGGTTACACCAATACTAAAGCAACAACGCGCGGATTTCTATGTACAAAAACAATGGCAGTGAGGAGAGTGGCAACACGCGCTGCAGAAGCTGTGGCAGGGGACACACACTGCCGGCTACAGAAATGTTCTAATAGCAAGCGGAGAGTCAAAACTCAGAACCAGTTTCGAAATTCTAGCAAGACCCAAAAACACACAGAAGCAAAAAATTCAACTGAAGGAGTGCAGCACATGAGAATTACGCTCTGAACTCGCACTTTAATACACACACACATACATGTATATGTATGTAACGATGCGCTACCTACATATATCAAAGTTTATATACACCACACCGTGGTGGAAAGGGCTACACATGTGCATTCGTGCAACTGCAACACGTAGCGTGCAATGTTGCCTCATATGCATGCATGTGTGTGTGTGTGTATGTATGTACATAAGCATATAAAATGAAAATATGTTTGGAACAGCAGAGAGCGTGGCAGCGCAGCGCGAGCGCCGACCGGCCTTTAAAACGAGATTATGAGGTAGTGCCTCGTACAAGCAGTTAGCAACATTTTCACATACAAAAGGAGAGCAAAAGTCGTAAATATTAATAGAACTGGAAATGAAACGTTCGCTTTGACACCTTCGTAATGTACAAAAGAGTTGCCTGTCTGCTTGTAGGGTCGCGCTGTAGGTTCAAGTTGCGAACGCTAGACATACATACACACATACGTGCACGTAGCTGGCTAAATGCCGTTGTATGGTGGTAACTGCTGAATAAATTATGTGTGTGTATGCACTTACATACGTGCATGTGTGTGTGTGTGGTGAAAATGCAAATTTCTGATCTTGAATAGCAGTAATTCCTAGCAATGAAGCAAAAAGAATCAAAGAAATATAAAAAAAAAGACTTTTGAAAAGTGTCAGGTTCAAGCACCCATATAAAATACATATTTCTGTATGTATGCAACCCACTATTTCACGTGTGTATGTGTCTGTGTGAAAGCATTCTATTATGTCGTAGAAAGCGCGGAAGAGTTACCTTTAAAAGGCAGCTATAGAATGACTACAAGCTCATAAGAGAATATAGGCAAACATATTTACTTATTAAATACCTAACATATATACATACCTATATATGTGTACATATGTACGACGCAATGACGTTCAACTATCGATAGCTGCCGATATTTAAATTTGAAATAAATTTGCATATGAAGTGGAGCTTAATTGAAAAAACGGTTGAACATTAAGTGTGTTTGAAGAATTATGTGATTATCTAAAAATACAAAATTTACACATTTACACCAGATTTTGATCGACCAGTTTTTATGGTAGCTATACGCTATAGTGGTCCGATCGGAATAATTTCTTGGGATATTCTATCATTGTCCACCATAGTAATCTCTGCCAAATTTCATGAATATATCTAAAATAGTTTTCCAAAAAAGGACTGGTTATTGACTGTTCAGTTTGTATGGCGACTATATGCTATAGTTGTTTGATTTGAAAAATTTGTTCGAAGCTTGTAGTGCTGTTTTCAATAGGAACCTGTGCAAAATTTGGAGAAAAAACTTTGTCAAATAAAAAAGTTTATCCGACAACAACTTTTCATTTGAAACAAAAGTTTGATACATCACTTTGCGTGGCAGCTGAAAGCTATAGTATGCCGATTTGAACGATTTGTTGGGAGGTTGTACCGCTGACTTAGCCAATAATCTGTGTCGACTTCTGTGCATATATCTTTTGAAATTAAAAATTTTTCCATACAAGAACTTGAGTTTGATCCATCAGTTTGTATAGCAAACGAACATTGCAAAATCGAGTCAGCTCGTGATGATGACTACTAATATACATACATACGTACTCATATTTTTTTATTGACTATCCGATGTTCCCTACTGGGTAATCCACTTTTACACTTGGTGGTGTATGCTGGCCAGAGCACTTTGAGTAATAATTCGTAACTTTGGTCGTTTTTTACTACCGGAAGGATGGGGAGGAGTTTTAGATTTTGTCTCAATTTTAGTACTTCTAACCAAATCTCGTGTGCGGAGTCATTGCGAATGTTCGAAAAGGCTTACGGTGATTCAGTTTTATCAAAAACACATGCCTACGAGTGGTGCAAAGTCTTCAATTCAAAGACGGCCGAGAGATCATTGGAGAAGGTCTGGATGACCTTCGATATCTTCAATTGAAGAAAACATTAAAAAAGGGAAAGATATGGTTATTGAAATTGGTCTTGCGAGTTTCTTCTTAAGATCCCACATTCGCGGAGAGCATTATAACTGCCGATGAAACATGGGTTTATGAGTTTGACATGCAAATTAGTTAACAATCATCAAAATGGAAACCGTTTTTAGTTGAATGCAGAGGTAAAACAAAATTCGCTGAAGGAGCTAAAGGCCATCTCAAAAAGTGCTTATGAAAAGTGTTTCGAGAACTAGAAAAATCGTTGGCATAACTGTATTACATCTGTGGTGATGATTACTTGGAAGGCGACAAAAAAAAAATTTAATATTTACCGTTTTATTTACAATTTCGGAGTACTTTTCAAAATGTAAAATATTGAAAACACCCTATTTTGTCATAAATTTTTATAAACCATTCAAGAAAATATAATTTTATGCAAAATAAATTTAAAAGGAGATTCACGTTGCCAACGAGATTTTATAGGTTCATAAAGCAAGAATTATTTAAAGCAAAGTTACATAATTCTGTGCGTTTATTTTCAATTATGACTGCGATACTATTACGAGTAACCGCATTAACCGATTTCATTTCACGAAAATCAAACCATATCTGTTGCAGAAAAAAAACGTCAGTGAATATGTGTGTGAGTCATATAAGTTGCAAAAAGAAATTGCAAGAAGCGGAAAACCACGGTCTGGTCAATGATGTCGCTGAAAAAGTGCCAGCTCAGTACAATTGTAGTAAGTGTGCGTAATGCAGATTATGCTTTCGCTGTGACCTCATATATAATTGCATAAAAATGCATTAGCTGCTGTGGATATAAGTATGACTGCATTTGTGTGTGAGGACTTCTGCTTAATAGATCAGTCACTCAATTATAAGAAAATATACGCAATGATATGGATGCAACAAAAACCACTATTCGAGTAAAAATGCTTGAAAATATTTAAAAAGGAGTAGAGTAAATTTTTCTACGAAAAATGTTTGAAGAAAGAAGTGAATACGCTTAATTTGGAGCAATTAAGGCTTGCGAAGAAAATAATGCACATACATGCAAATTATTTACACTCATTGTGCGAAATATTGAGCATTATAAGAAATGTACTCACAAGTGTTTAGGTTGCATACTCTCAGCACTTAATAGCTCACTCATTATAGCTGTGGGAAAATCATGTCTAATTATAAAATCACAACAATTATTATGCAATCTAACGGGGCGCTTACCTATTCAACGGTTTCAATTGACAGTGCATGCGAAAAATACGTACACATACACACGGTTAAAAATTGTTTAGCTACAAAAGCCGGCATTATTTATGCGAAAGTGTGAAGTAAACAAATGCATAAACAAAATATTAGAATATTTATGATTGAAGTAATAATTGTTTAATTGAAAGTAATAATTGTTTAATTGCAAGCATTTATGTAATAATTAATTTTAGCCATTTTTATTTGCCGACTATTTATTTTGCATATAATATTATTTATATTTTGGTTTATTTTTGCTATTTTTACAGTTAATACGCATGCGAAAATAGTAGTAACGGCAGTTGTACGTTGGATAAGAACACTGGTGAAATTAGAGAAGACATAATTCGTGAGCCTGCAGTTAATTATTAAGTCCAGTCAAGATGGCCCTCTTTGGGATGGTGTCGGCCGTTTCTGGCTTTATAAAAATTCGAAATCTCTTGGATCGTGCGGTTATCGATAACATGGTCTTTCGTTGCCATTATAGAATTACAACAGCGTTGCTGTTTGTTTGCTGCATTATTGTAACGGCAAATAATTTAATTGGTGAGTATTAATTAAAAAAAATAAATAAATACTTATCATAAAGTAACAGCCAATCATTATGATTATGTTATATTTCGAGCGTTGATCATTTGTAAAAAATATTACACTTGAAGACAACAACAAATTATATAGGTGAATTCATTACAAGTGAGACAAAAAGAGAGTGGTATCAGCTCTAACTCGAAATTTGCTTAAAGCTAGTGTCGATCCACCAATATACATATGACGAGTGGTTCAGTGACAGCCAATATTGGTCAATAATATTAAATTATATAAATTATAAAAAAAAATATAAAAGTCAAAAAACTTGAATCGATCTTACAATAAAAGTTAAATGAACAAAAAAGTAAGAAACGGGTTAAATATTAATAAAATATAAAAATATATAAAAATATAAATAATATATAAAATAATAAAAAAAAATACAAAGTTATAAAAAATAATTCATTCAATTAAGCATAAAAAAACGTTAACTTCAGTTGCATCGACGTTACTAAGAAGTTTACATAAAAAACTTATTTTGAGCGCCCAGTTTGTATGGCAGCTATATGCTATATTGGTCCGATCTGAATAATTTCTTCAGAGATTGTACCGTTGCTTTAAACAATAATTCGAGCAGCCAAGTTTCGTCAAGATATCCTGTCAAATAAAAACTTTTCCTTACAAGATGTGATTTTGGTCGTTCAGTTTATATGGCAGCTATACGCTATAATTGTCCGATGTGAACAATTGGTTCGCGGATTATAACACTTCTTTAAATAACAATCGTACCCGAATTTCGAGCAAATATCTTATCAAATAAAATAAATTTTTTGCATGAGTTTAATTATGATCGTTCAATTTGTACGGTAGCTATATGATATAGTGCTCCGATCTGAGCAATTTGTTCGGATATTGTAGTGCTTTTTTTGGCGATAATCCATGCCAAATTTCGTTAAGATATCCATACAAACGAAAAAGTTTTCCATACAAGAACTTTATTTTTATCGATCAGTTTGTATGGTAACTATATGCTATAGTAGTCTGATCTGAAAAATTTCTTCGTATATTGTATCATTGCCATAGATTATAATCACAGCCAAAGAAAGGAAAGATATCTTGTCAGGTAAAAAATTTTTTCACAGAAGAAGATAAGCTAGTATGGTGGTGATGAATGAACAACTTTTTGGGAAGTAAAGGAAATGTGTACAATTTTACTCAGCTCGTGACACTGATCATTTGTATATACATTTATAAATTTTATATGGCCTCCAATGATCCTTTCTGAGAATAAAATAAAAAATAAACATAACCAAAAAAATGGACACAAGAAATCAGTCGATTAGATTCCACGTAAATTATTAAACTGGCATATATAAAAAAAAAGTTAAATAAACATTTGGAATAACATCTAAAGAGTCACGTAAATAATTCAAACACCCACAATTAAATCAAATATTTGTATGTAGTTACAAAGCAGCAACAAATTAGCAAGTTCACACACAAAAAGTCAATCGAATTTGATAATTGCAGCACAATACATGAGTTGACAAAAGATCTCTAGTGAAAAGCGTGACTTCTTATGAATTGGCGGCGATAAAAACCGCTAATAAGCCAACAAGCCGGCAAACAGAGCCAATATAAATATGTGTGCATTTATTGTGGTGTTGCAAGGGGAGATCACTTTATGCTAGACAATCAACTTTACAAACAACAAATATGCGCTTACAAACAAATATACACACATACAGTTGCATTTGCAACGCCCAAGCCACCCATAATGCCGACAAAACTAGCTAAGCACCCGCCTGCAGCGTTGCACTGCGCGCATTTCAGCGTTTCGCACCTTTTTAAGATATTCAAAATGCATTTGGCGCAAGCGTTTAGCGGCAGCGTGTAAATTGAGTAGCGCACGTTTACTTCTAAAAATTGTTTTTTTTTTATTCTCGCTTTTGTTCTTGCTTTTGTATGCTAATGAGTTTTGCGCAAAAAAATGCATAATTAGCAGAGTGCTGCGAGTGTTCGGTAAAAGTGCGCAACAAGGCGGCGGTCGCGGTGTGTTACCAGCGAGGTTATTGATTTATTGCAATATTAAAGTGTATTTTTCAAATTTTTTTTCGCAACACAATTGTTGTCAAGTGACGCTTTTGTGAAATAATTTTTGTTTGCTAAGCTGCTGTTGCTATTGTTGTTGATTTTGAAATCGATATTTGCTTAAAAATTATGCAAAATGACAGTTGTAAAAGGAAAATGCGATATGTCAAAAAGAAAAATATGGATCTGTAAGCCGTACATGCACATATAATTTTATTTACCACAATTAAACACATATGTACATATATGCAGGGTTTTCCAATAGAGATGTTATGATTTCTAAGTGTAGTTTGGGCTGTCAATAATATTCACATTTTCATCATGAAAGATATACGCAAGTTTTTAAATTGGACTCACTTCCATCTGAGTGATGCGGCAAATAAACAAAACTGTCGCTTTAAGTGCGAAGAAAATCTACAAATTACTCATGAACAGCCATTTCACTTAAATTTGATTGTGTTTTGACAAATTGACAGTTTGGTGTGGTTTTGGGTATCGTGGAATCATCGGCCCGTACTTCTTTCGAAATTAAGCTGATAACACCGTTACTAAGAAGAAGTTGAATTTGACAACATTTTATTCCAATAAGACGGTCATATAGCACCGAAAACCTTTGGAGGTTTGATTATTTCAAGAAACTGTGGCACGGAATGTCCTTCAAGAAGTTATGATTAAACACTATTAGACTACTTCTAGTGGGGTTATTTGAGGTTATTGATCTTTAACAATAAACTACGCTCTCTTCAAGCTTTAGAAGTCAATATTGTACGTGTTTTCATGACATATGACTTGATTCAGTAAAAAAAAAAAGTGCACGAAAATTGGTTTCAACGAGTTCGTTCCTGCAAAAGAAGTCATGGAGGCATAAATTGTAACGATTGTACTTCACATTAAATAAAAAATGAAATTTTTTAAAATCGCGGGTTTTTTTCAAAAGAAATCATATCATTCATTTGAAAACCCTGTATTTGTATGTTTGTAGTTATGTAAATACCGCGCTTGAGCGAAACCTCGATTCGAGCTGCATGTAATATGATAAGTGAGGTTTTTTTTTTTTAAATTGTTACGCTTTTGCTTATTTTTATTGTTTTTTGCATATGTATATACATACATAAATCTCTTGTACATAAGCCTAAGTACGTGTGATTGTTTTTTTATTCCTGTTGACGAATCAACGAGTTGAATGTCACGTAAGTGGCGCAAACCGCACACTTTAGTGATTTATCTGACTTTTTAACGGTGTTGTACGATGAGGTGAAGCATGAATCATTTAAATAATCGAAATTAGAGAAAGCTTCAAATTTAAAAATTATGTATAAATTTAATTACTCATATATTCTAGAAAAATCTAAAAATATTCTAAAATATATTACTTTCTATATGAGAACACAAAAAATAGCGGACATGTTTGGAAAAAAAAATTATTCGCCTACATTAGTCTCCATTTGATATTATGTATATTATTATATATACAGATATTATTATATATACAAACTCGATTTTGGAGATTGCCTTTAACTCTTTCATCGATTTTCATCTATCTTGTTAAAATACTGCCTATTTAGATTCTTCAGGTGCGTGAATATCAAAATAATACAAAATGTTTGACACTTGAGACTCTTCATACCTGTCAAATTTCAAAATTTCCGTTATTTTCTGAACATACCTCTTACATCTTCTTTTGTAAAAAAAATCTCGTTATGTTCTGGACACACGTCTTCGTATGTATTTCTTGAGTTTTTTAGTAGGAACTAAGCCTTTCCTTTTATAAAATGTAGTCAAATTTATTTATTTTTTTTTGTTTTAACAGGATTAGTTAGTGCTGTTTTATACATACAATTTATTCCAATATTTTTTCTCTATAAAAATATCAGTTACCAATATAATGATTATAAGAGTATAAATATTAATATTTTTATTTTAAAATTTTTGGTAATTTTTGCTGAAAATTCGATTTTAATTTTCAAAAATATTTTACCGTTATTTTCCGTTTTAAATATTCCGTTCGTTATAATATTTTCAATATTTACAAAAACAACAACAATAAATTAATACTTTAACTCCGCAATCTATTTGCATATTTAAAGAGGTTTGCTGCAGAACAATCACGAAGTAAAATTCGGTCAGAGCGTAAGGGCAAAAACGCACCTCTTTTTTTGTGGAGAACAGAATGCCAAGAAGTTTTCTTTTACATAGTTAGGTGAGATTGTTGTTGTAGCGGCAGAATTCTGCTAATTTGACAGCCTTTGGCTGGATAAAAATACGCGTCCGCTCCTTTAGCGACTGTGATGTTAGATTTTCTTCTTGCTAATTTTAGGTTACTAAGCCGAACCGAATCGAATTTTGCCTTATAGTCAGAAATGTAGTAGTCAAATTTTCACTACTAAAATAAACTGCACTTGATGGAAGTTTTTTGTACTAAAATTCGTAATCAAGACACACAGACCTCTAGCACATCAGTCGTAAATTTTCCCCCCCGATTTGTTGAGTAGTGCAAAAACCTTGAAAAACTTTCAAAACTATAAATTTTCTCAATTTATTGATTTTCGATCGACTTTAGTGCAATTCTATGCACTATGTGGTGCACTAGGTTCAGGCTACCCAAGAAGAGCAATTTATTTAGTGAGACCTTGTCGCAGGATTTATATGATTTAATAAATTCGTCAATGATTTCAAGCATAATAATAAGTCAGAACGGTAATTTAATAAATTTTAATGCCTTCAAACTTTTAATATTAATTACATGCATACATATGTGCTTAGATAAAGCTCTGGATTAAACAAGCATTAGCAATTTGATGCAGCAAAAATTAAGCGTGTGGGCATATGCTTCTATGAGTGCAACAACGAATGCCACCTTTGTTTATGTTACAAAAGTAAAAAAAAAAACACAAAAAGTTTCCAACACACATAGATAAGCATGCATTCCCAGTGGAGAGGCACTCCCTGAAACTCAGCTCCACTGCTTCAGTTCCAAATTGGCTTAGCATTCATCAAGCAAAGAGGAGAAGTCAACATAATAAGGGACAAGTGCTAAGCCTGAGTTGCATGCTATATGCAGTGGCTCTCGTGTATACATATGTACATATCGATATGTTAATATACATGCTCGTATGTAGTATGTGAGTATATGTGTTCGTTGTACATATGTACAGAAGTTTGAAACTGCTTGACACACAGTGTTTATTTATTATTTTTCATCGCATAGCTGTGAGTGGTTTGGCTCCGTACTTGGTTGGTAAGCCACCAGCGAGTCACTCGACAACTCAAAAAATCAAAACTGGATTTCATACAGTGCATATTAATTCAGAGATAAGCATGTATGGTTGTATGCATGTAGGCTCAAACGTTACTTTGTCAGCAGAAACGCTCAAATAACAAAATTTTGGAAGTTTACAAATTGTTAGGCGCTTAAAAATGTAAAAAAAAAATAACTGGAAATACTAAAAATTGGAATAATAAATAAAAAATATTGAAAAAAACCTAACA